CTCCGGACGCGCAGGCTCAGCGGCCATGGCTCACGGGCCCAGCCGCTCCGCGGCACGTGGGATCTTCCCGGACCGGGGCACGGGCCCGTGTCCCCTGCATCGGCAGGTGGACTCTCAACCGCTGCGCCACCAGGGAAGCCCGAGGCCAGGTCTCTTGATGGCACTGGTGTTCCTGATGCTGCACTGCCGCATCCCCTGGGTAACCCCAGGCAGAGCAGCACCACTGAGGCTAGACCACAAGCACACCAAGGTCCCCAGCCTTCCAGACCTGGCCATGCACAGCAGCTTCCTTATTCTACTTGAACCTGAGAAGGGGCACATTTTGGTTGAGCGATTATACACCTGGGTGGCTGCATGTCAGGAAACACTCCTAAAATTCTTGTCCCTGACTGATTAAAGGAGAAGCATATCTCGGCCATCCTTGGCCTCTGGATTACTGTTGCATCATTAAATAGGGCTTAATTATTGAGTGATTTTAGCAGTAAAGAGACCAGTGTACTCTGTACAGTAATAATTGGTTTACCTGTGTATAGGGGTTACAAAGCACCTCTGTGTCACTTTCGCATTTACTCCTTACGCCTGCCCTCTCAGGGTGGCGGGATGGGTTTTTGTTTGTTTGCTTGCTTTAATTTTATGGATGCAGAAACTGAGGCTTGAGGTAGCTAGACAACCTGCCCCTGGCACACCGACAGTGGCAGAGCTAGAACTCAGACCCAGGTATCACCTCACCTCAGAGGCTGCTTTCTCCATTGCCCCATTGTCTCAGAGTGAAGGGTGACTAGGCAGTGAAGCAATTCTCTAGGAAAGCATATGACCAATTTCCCTTTCTCCACCTCCCTCTTCTTCCTCTGCCCCTCCCCCACAGCCCCCATATATAGGAAGCTCCACAAAGCCTGGCTTGCCTGTGCACCTTTACTTTTGAAGCTGCTTCCATAGCTGGAACAGGAGACTTCCATTCACAGTTGCACCCTGATCGGTGAATGGTAGGGGTGCCTGCTCAACCCTCTTCCCCTACAACGGGAACCGGCCACCTCTAAAGAGCAAACCCTCAAGCATCACTTCTAGGACCTGAGGTGAGTGATGGGAGAGTCTTGAGTACTTGGCTTTGAAGCCTCGCACTGACCGCTGCCCTACTGGGAATGGGGGCTGGGGGATGGCAGAAGTCAACTTTTCCAGGGTTTATGTAAGGGTGAGATATACCGTGAGGCTGAGCTGCTTTCTCGGGTTTAACACCCAGAAGAATTTAGGCTGGAGGAAAGGAAGGCCAGGAGGATTATGAGGCCTAGAGATGAATTTGCAAGACAGGCTGCAGATCCTGTGGAGTTTGAAAGAAGGGAATGGAAAGACTCTGAGGGGCTGAAGCACAGAGCTGCATGACAGGACAATGGGTGCTGGCTCTGGGCCCGCGTCTCTGGCCCATGTGCTGGCAGGCACTCCAGAGACAGGACTTCTCCCCGCTTCCTGCCCAGTCTAGGGGTGGAAGACTGAGCGTCCTCAGGTGTGAGACCAGGGCCAGGAGAAAGAAAGGGAGGGAGGGACTGAGCTCTGAGGAAAGAAGGAAGGAAGAAAAGCAAAGGGCAAAGAAATTAGGGAGAAGAAATCTCTGCATACGATTATGATAGACAGACAATGGGGCTCCCTTCCTCTGGCTTGGGGCTCTTCACAGAGTCTTTCAGTGGAAGGTTTTAAAGGTGATTCCTCTGGAAATCTGATTCCTCCTCTTGTTCAGTTACCTGAAAATTTAATTCTTAGAGTCAAGAGCCAGTCCGTCAGTTGAGGTGGCATAGTGAGTATGTGACCGTAACCTATCAATCAGCTAGTCCTTCCCTGTGGGTCAGGATTAAACCCACGGCTCCTCATGAGTCGGAGGTGGCCTTCTCCTGGGGGAGGGGAGAAAGACCTGTCCACGTGTGCCCGGTGACTTAAGGGCAGAGCTCAGACAGGCAAACGCCTAGTTAAGCTCTCTATCCTGCTGAGTTTGGGCTCCCTATATGAGTTCTTTGGCACATTGTAAAAGAGTGAAGAAATGGCACTCCTCATTTCTTCGCTCTTTTTGGTCAAATTCTGACTAGCAGGTTGTTGGCTAGAGTTGACTGTAACAGAGCAAGGAAGGAGGTGCAGGGTGTGTCTGTGTGGCATGGATTGGCGGGGGTGCAGATAGTGGGAGAGCCACATCAATGGGTATGAGACCGAGGGGCAGAAAGAACCTTGCCCCACCCCAGGGCACCTCAGCAAGGCCACATGTTTGAATTATTCTAACACCGGGAACCCACTCTAGTTTCAGGTTTCCCATCTGTGTGTCCCCGAGGCTGGCCAAGGCAGAGCCAAGGAGCATTACTCTGGGGTGTACCCCTTCTGAGGCAGAGGACCTGCCTCAGAGGGGTGCCTCCCTTTCTTCCAGCAGGATCGCCCTGGTCCTTCCTCTGCTGCAGATGGGCTCTCCTGTGCACATGGCTGCCCTTCCCTGCCTGAGTCTGATCCTGCTTTTCTGGAGCCAGGGTCCAGGGGCCCAGGGCCAAGAATTCCAATTCGGGCCCTGCCAAGTAGAAGGGGTAGTTCTTCAGGAACTGTGGGAAGCCTTCCAGGCCATGAAGGACATTGTGGTGAGTGAACCGCTGTTCTGAAGTCAGCCGTGGGGGTGATTCTGGGTAGAGGATAATATTTTATGATATGGAGACTTTTGCAACTTGATCATCATTTTCCTATCTAAGAACTTAGTGAAATCAGATGTATCATGAGTCTACATTTCCTCTTGCACTTGGGGAAACTGAGGCTCAGAAAGATGTGGCCAGTCTGTAGGAAAAGAAACACAGCCCATGAGGAATAAAGAAGGGAGCCGATTCATTTGAGTTTCATCTGTGTCCCAGGGTTACATGAGACTCCACCAATGGGAAGTCATGGGAAATCCTTCGAGACCCACCAGAGTTTTCACCTACTGCTTTGCCAGCTCCTGCTGTTCTATTCCCACCTGCTTAGGCCTTGAGTAAAGGTCGAAGAATGTTTAATGCTAAGTTGGGAAAGAATGGTTAATAGAGCTTGTGACATGTACTCCTTAAAGGACAATCCAGATGCAAGGCAGAAAGAAGGAGCTTGATGAGGCAGCTAGGGAAGAGGGGAGGGTGCTGCATTGGAGACAGGGCACCTATGTATGATCTTGACCTTGAAACCAACCCGTACAGCAACCCCTACCTTCGTCCCCATCAGTTTCCTTATTTGCACAATGAGGAGGTGGGACAAAGGAGCTCTAAAACTCCTTCCTCTCAAGCATTCTTTGGCTCAACATTCAAGAACTGGGATGAGTGGTGGGCTGCAAGAGAAGCTCCAAGGGGCAGCCCCCTGACCCGCCCCAGAATATGGGGGTAAAATCCCATTCCTAGTGGTTCTTAAGCCACATGGGCTTATTTCTTCCTGCCTCAAGTGACCAAAGGGATCAAACAGGTCCCTCATCAAAGCTCTAAGAGCTCCTGGGATTCCATCTGCCCCTGGGGGCCAAGATTGGTGATTTTCTGGGCCTGGACCCCTACCCCAGGGGCCAGCTCAGCATGGCCTTTCCTGGGTCCTCCCTCTGGCCTCTGCGATCTCACAGACTGGAGAGATTTAGGGGTCTGGGGAAGCAGCGTGTACTTGCAAGGTTGGTTTCTATGCTGACCCCCAACCTGGAGACATCTGTTCTTTCTGTTCCCAAAGCAAGCTCAGGATAATATCACGAGCGTCCAGCTGCTGCGGAAGGAGGTTCTGCAGAATGTCTCGGTAATCAGATGCTGGGGAAGGATGGTGCCTCCTCTGGGTGGCTGGTCTTCTATGGGTGACGCTGAGGAGGTTGTCTAGGGGAGGCTGACAGAGGACTTCACTTCTGCCCTGGGCTGAGCCTGCACAGGACAGGGCTTGGTAGTGAGCCAGAGAAGTAATATCTGGGGTTGTCATCTCAGTATCTGGGGTACGTGAACATGTGGCATGAGAAGAGGGGCGGGGATTGAAGCTTGTAAACCTCTGTCTCCATTTAGCCAGAGTTGCCGTCAATCTAGATTTCTCTTTCGCTTTTGTCGGCCCAGTGAGCATGCGCTTAGGCCACTTCCATGCCCCTACTTTTTTCTCACCTGTTACTCATCACCCATCTAGGCAGTGAGCAGAGACGACTGAGCCCTGACCCCTGAGAGATGCTGAGCTTCCCTCTGTGGCACTTCAGAGGGCCAGTGTGCAATCCCTGTGCTCAAGGATACTACTTTTCTTTCCTCCTCATTTCTTCTCCTTCCAAGCCTTTTTCCTGCCAACTCTCGACCAATCAAGATCTGGTGCTTTTCAAGGTCCATCACTGCCCAGAGCTATTAGAGAGGCCATGTGGTATAGAAGAAAGAATACTAACCAGATGGGAGTCAGGAGTCCTGGGGGCTAGGCTGTGTCTGCTACTGACCAGCCATGGGACCCTGGGTGAGTCCCTCCTTTCTGGGTCTGCAGTTCCTCCTGTCAAACAAAGGGACCTGAAGCCTCCTTAAGATATAACATTTATCAGCATCTCCTAGAGGATCGCTGCCTCTACTGTGCTTATCTTGCCTTGCGTGGCACGTGAGTGGTTCATCCAGGGCTGGGGTGGGAAGAGGCCTTGGCTCCGCAGTGACCCCGCCCCTCCCCAGGAGGCTGAAAGCTGCTACCTCATCCATGCCCTGCTGGAGTTCTACTTGAACACTGTCTTCAAAAACTACCACCATAAGGCAGTTGAATTCAGGATCCTGAAGTCATTCTCTACTCTGGCCAACAATTTTATTGTCATCATGTCCAAACTGCAACCCAGTGTGAGTAGAACAAAGCTGGGACGGAGGCCCACAGGAAATGCTATGTTTTCAGAAGCCTCGTCTTCCCTTATTTGGCCTTGGCTTTTATTCCACGACGGGGAGCTGCAGGTGTCATGGAAAAGAGCACAGGCTCTGGGCACCAGCAGTTCTGGGCTCAAATCAAGGTCTGCTTCTAACCAACTGGGTGTCCATTTGCAAGGTGGTCAACCTCTCTGAGCTTTGGTTTTCTTATCTATAAAATGCTGATAATCACCCCTACGTGGCAAGACTACTGTGAGAATTAAAGGACACAGTCCCTGCCGCATGGTGGGAGTTCAGCATTGGCTACCTTGGGGACGCGGGATTTGGAGCTGTCCTCTTAGGCCTTGGGCACCCCTCTGGCGTCATTAGGAAGGAGTGGGAGGCAGCTTGCCTCTGCTCCTACCCGACACTTGGCTCAATTTTTTTTCTGTTATCCAGCAGGAAAAGGAGATGTTTTCCGTCCGTGAGAGTGCACGCAGGCGGTTTCTGCTGTTCCAGAGAGCATTCAAACAGGTAATCAAAGCCAGGAACTGAGAGGTGCCCAGCTGGAAGTAGACTAGCCTGAAGTGTCACACGATTGTTCCTCAGGGACCGAGTGCAGAATCCAGTGCAGCTGACTCCACCCGGCTGGCCCCAAAGCCACCTGACTTAGCACAGCTGTAGCTGTGTCAGTTGCCATATCCTCTGCATAAATACCACAAATGGCAGCCTATTTTTCTGCCAGTTTTCAAGTTAAAGTGCTATTATATTTCCCTAC